GAAGACAGGCGTCAAGTGGAAGCAATTCCGCATTTCGTCTGATGAGTGTGCGTCCCGGAGGCCTAATTTAGTCCTCTTTCTCTTCCCACCCTTTTTCTTATAAGGAAAGGATGGAAAATGAAAGTGGACTTTCTGGATAAAAGGATAGTGCATCCTCTCCTCCGTCGATTAAAGGCAGGCAACGTATATGCAATTGCATATTTAATGGGCAACGGTTACTTCGCTACTTCAGAGATTTCAGGTGGCCGCTCGCTCGTTTGCCATCTTATGGAGGATACTTTCTAACATCCATCCATCCAAATATTCGCGTTTATAATAATTACAAGATTTGTTTGTATGGGAATGGATTTCCTCTTTCCGTACGTCCATTTTCTGTCTGTTAAAGGTAAACGCATTTGTTACTATAAGACTTGTTGCAGTCATTTCGCTATTTTAGCGAAATAGATAGAGAGAGAGAATAGATAGTAATAGATAATAAAATCTTTTGCTATGTTATGCATTTGGTATAACATCAGGAAATAGAGTATACATAGGAAGTAATGTAGACATCGTACAAAGGGAAACATCCGAGCCGCGTATGTGAACTCACACGTGGCCAGCGTTCATTTTCCATTTCAGTTGGCGGGGCGGTTGCTTATTGGATATCAAGACAGTTGTTCTATAGCTATATATACGACGTAAATATGACACATATTACCGAGGTATTGTGCTAAACTTAAACTGTGAAATTGAAAATCTTATACCAAAAACAATCTGATCTGATCATTTTTCTTTTGAAAAAATATAGTAAACTTCATAGTTTATTAGCCCCTAACAACTTAGGATGTTATTAAATGTCATTAATACCTGTATGAATTGATTGGATGGATATTTGTAACCACGTAACTCCCGATAGTAACTGATCTAAACGAATTTTAAAACAGATATTACAGCTTAAAACAGCATAGACGCTATTGAATATATTTTTTTTAATTTCACACGCGGACGTCTGCTATTAATTAATAATTATTAAACTTTTTAGGCATATCTTATTTATCACATTATTATGAAGCGTGTACAAATGTTATATGTCTCATATAATTTCTATACATATCTCAATAAAAACTTTCCTTACGTTGCTTGTAAAACGTAGCAATTGCCTTTCAATCTAGACGTTATAACGAGCCACTTATAACTAATAATAAATTATATATACTTTACTGCGTATTTTTATAAAAACAAGAGTAAATTTCAATAATTTATTTCTACATACTAAAAATATTTTTAATCAAAAGAAAACTCTTTGGAACATACTCTTTACCCACTAACATATAAATGGATAGGCTATAATACGTGATACTTTGTGCCTATTTCATGTTTGTTATTGAATTTGAACTATTAGATTTAGAACTATCAGTAACATCAAGAGACACGTTTAAACTACGAAGTTAAAGCTGTCATTTTCAAACAATTTCCTATCTATTTATAAATATCAATGCTTTTACCAGACATGAGAATTATAACAATATATAGAACAACGAATTAAACTTGTTACCAATTAACAAGGCCAGTTAACAAGCCCGCGTGTGAAATGAAAATTTGTTACTGTCGGTTTCGATTTTTTTTAATTAGAATTACATCTTTGAGTATACAACTCCGCTACTTGTACCTATGAGATCCCAGAGTGTTCACTTAGCATTAGAAAATTACACTTAAAGTCTTTTTGTATAATTTAGTCCACAGTGTAACAGAAGAGGTATTTTTCCATCGTAATTATACTTTTATCTTTATATAACACGTCACAACTTTCTATACAGATCGCGCAGTTAATAATATAAAATGGTTTTAGCACAAACATGAAAGCGATGCTGTTTTATCGTCCTGACGCACGCTGACGATAAACTGATCGCAAGCCAAAATCACACCTCCTTTTAATGTTATGTTTATATAATCTGTACACTACAATAATTAACATTTTATAATATAAATGGTGAGTCTTACTAATATCATAAATGCGAATGTTTGGATGCATGGATGGATAGATGTTTGTTTGAAGGTATCTCCGGAACGGCTGAACGGATCTCGATGAAAATTGGCATACATATAGAAAATAGTCTGGAAGAACACATAGACTATTATGTTTTTTTATAATAATTACGCGCGGACGGAGTCGCCGGCGACCGCTAGTGTCCAAAATCGTAAAAACTTTTGTGACGTGAGCGAGTTTTAATCTTTGATAATTATTGTTCTTTGATATTTGAGATGTTATATTGTAAAGGTTTTATAATTTTAGTTGTCGTCTGCAACTACGTCCGCACAGACTTAATAAAACGTAGTAAATAGTCTATGTGTTCTTCCAAACTATGTTCTATATCTATGCCAAATTTCATCGAGATCGGTTAAGTCGTTTTGTAGACACATTTAAACAAACATTTAAACATTCACATTTATAGTAGTAAAATTATTTTATCACAGTAAAAAATTTACTCTGAAAAATCATAGGGAAAATGTTACGAAAACAATATATTTGTAATACATAAATATTGTAACAAACATAATATTACATTGACGTTTCCATTATCCGGTGAAACAGGAAACGAATCTTTCTATTTTATTTGTTACAAAAACGCACACTTTGTATTAGAAGTGACGTAAAGCGGATGAAGAATTATGCAAATTTTCCATAACATTACAATTGAAGAAAATATTATTGTTATTTTGTAATATTTTGTTAAAGTATATAGTTTGAGGCATTATTAGTTAGAATCCTTTGGCGCGAATGACGCGCTTTCGTTACAAAGTCAAATGTCAGAATGATTAGTGTTGCGCCAGTACACCGGCACAGTGTCGAATTTTCTTCCTAACAATTCAACTTCAAAAGATCATTGTTCAATTAACAGTTGAATAAAGTCTTTCATCGGTATATCACATTATCACCCCTTTTTGTTATAACAGAAGGGGGCAAAGGAGTAGCGGGGACCCCGAGGTGTTCAACGACGCTCATGGACATCAGCAATACCAGAGGAACCGCAGATGCGTTGCCCTTTTCTTTGAAGCATAATAAGAAGGATAAAATACATTTTTGGCTGGATATACTAGTCGTGAACTATCGCTGCATTGCGTCGAATTTGTCGCTTCGTTACGACACACAACAATCATACAAATTGTATGATTCACGAATCACTTTCGTTCATTACTCCATTCTACTGCACTTGACGGTATGACGTCAATCGGATGTTTACCGTGCAGCAACAACCGCGGCTTGTTTTAGCCGGCCCTTACTGTTTACGTTCCCTCGGCTAAATTCGTAACCAAATTACAGTTGGCCCAGCCACCGCAATGTTTTACTTCCTACATTTATTTAGGTAAAACAACACACATATTAAGTTCGAGAACATCGTCCATATCTTTTATTAGACTGATACGAAAAGAAATTCTAAAATTATCCATTATTTTGAATTCCGCGCGGACGGAGTCGCGGGCGATAGCTAGTTATATATAGAAGTACTTGCAATGGTGACTTTCTATATTTACCGTGGGTTTCTGACATCAAAATTCTAGTTTAAAATATATTTTCTCTGTTTCATCTATATGTGTTGACGTTATGTTTTATACAGAGATTTAGGTCTCAAAAACCCAAGGTAAGTCATTGTTTACTAATATAATCTGTATTCCGAAAAATATTTCTTATAGAAATTTCAGTAACGTATGCAGGTCGCCTTACTCCTTCCTGTTACAACGCATTGACGTCATCTGACCGAATGGTACCAACAGCTATAAATCTGACATGACACGGCGGACCGGCCGCGGTCTGAGCGCCAAATCTGATTGATTATGTCAACGACTAACAGATTTTTAATTAATACTAGTTATCGCCTGCGAATCCGTCCGCGTGGAATTAAAAAAAATTATACAAGTGGCCTATAAGTACTTCCAGACTATGTCCTACATGTATGCCTTTCATCGTCAAAAAAAACAATCATATTTAGTGGAAGAAAAAAAAACGTGGTGGCAATATCCTTGCCAACACCAGTATGAGCTCTGTTAAATTCTGTTCATGGATTTTCCTCTTGCAGTTGTTTTTTTTTTATATCATAAGGTGGCAAACGAGCGAGCGGCCACCTGAAATCGCTGAAATAGTGAAGTGACCGTTGCCCATAGACATACGCAATTGCATATCCGTTGCCAACACCAGTATGAGCTCTGTTAAATTCTGTTCATAGATTTTCCTCTTGCAGTTGGTGAAATAGCGTCACTAAGTTTTAAGGTATTGGTGCTACAAAGTGGAAAAAATCATAAAAATGGTGGCCACACATATTGCCACCAACAGTAAAAGGGTTAAAACATCCATCCATCTAAACATTCGCATTTATAATATTAGTAAGATTATTTTAGACGAAGTATTTATCTTGACTTAATATTTAGAAATTTAAATGAAGGATAATAACTTTTAAGTGTACACATTTTTTAATTAATAATAATTTAAATGTCTTTCTTAACATTTAAATGAATCATCTTTATAATATTGTCGATTAAAGTTTAAAAAATTATTAAAGTACTGAAATTTTCATCGTCGAAAAGAAAGTAATGGGTTTTATAGTCAAACAGTTTGCGACTAAAGCTCAGAGATGCTCCAATTTAACACAAAACACCTGAGCCCTTTTAAAAGTTTGGAAAGAAATTGCACAATTTTTAAATTTTATATTTTTATCGAGTATTTCAAGCAACAATAATTTAAAAGCAATTTTAAATTGAAAATCCAAAACTGAATATTCCAACATCAAAAAATCGTGCCATATTTACCGATTTAATAAGTATCATCCTTAGATAAAAACAAATATCTCTTATACTTATTTAAAGACATCTCCTTTATATTTTTTAATGAAGTCGCGTGTCCTATTTTCATTTGTGCAGCCGTTACTTTTAAAAAAATATAATCAAGCACATTCAAATTCACACGACTAGGCACAAAGGAAAGGAAAATAATCCTATAATTCTTAATAATGTTATTTTTCTTGTAGGTATAGTGAACAGAGGTGACTCGTTCCGTCGCCGTCGGTCCCGGTCAGGCAGCCTAGCGCCCGCATCCCCGGCGCAAGCTACCCCGGAGCCCCAGGAGCGCAAGCCTGTCGCCTGTCACCGTGTAGCCATGGTGGGCGCGCCGGGCGTCGGAAAGACTGCTCTCATCAGCCAGTTCCAAACCAGCGAATGTATAAACGCTTACGATAGACAGAGAGGTTAGTATGGTAATTAATATGTAAAAAAAAACGTCCCTCCTTAGTCATATACCTTCATAACCATGCTACTTTCAAACAATATAATAGGTCCTACTTGTGTAATTTATTCTACGTAAATAAATACACACTTGATACTGCATAGAACGTCATTGGCTCAGGGATTAAAACGCCAACTTGTAATTTGCAGCTCCTGGGTTCAAATCCCGCCATGTACTGTTTTTCGATTACCATATGTACATTTACCCGACGTTCTTACGGTGAAGGAAAACATGGTGATGCAACCTGCACATATTTGAGAAGAAATTCAGAAGTATATAAAGTCAACCCGCACTAGACAAGCGTAGTTAACTATGGCCTAGTCAACACTAACTTAGAGTAAGCTCCGAGCCCCTCAGTGGGGACTATACTGAGCTGATGATGAAATACACCGCTTTTGTTCTTCTTAAAAACCTAAAAACTCAACAAAAAAAGTGGTGTCGATATCATGAAATAGAATCACGAGTTCTTTAAAATACATTTAAACTTCAATCATCATAATAACCAATTTATTAATGTATCAAAGTCAGCCTTCGAACGTATTCTCTATATTGGAATGAACCCTTCCCTCATATTTTACAATCAAACTACGAAAAATCCGACTTATGTGCAAACCTACTAAACATTACTCTAGTTAGTCAGGTTAAAATTTCCCCGCATCTCTATTTACCTTAAAAATTACCGTTTTTCGATATGTGACATAAAGAGAATGTTATAACAAGCAAAAATCGCAACTAAACAAACACAATTGTCTATATTCTCTGTTGTATATTTTTCCTTTGTTCTTAGAAGCTTTTATTTCGCTAGCGTGAGTTGGTCGGGACAGTTCACCGGGAAATTCTCCACTTTATTTTCTACAAACTCAGCTCGACAACGTAATAAAAACGAACATCTTTAAACGGACGAGAACTATACTAAGAGTCTGGCAAATTGCAAAATAAAATAGTAAAAGTAATAAGAGAACTCGGAAAGCTAGAATTGTTTTGTTTCATTTAATTTATCTATAAAATTCGCTGGCGACAGCTAGTTTTTTTATAATATTAGAGAATGCTCATAAAACTAATGATAGTTGTTCCTTTCAGATGTCGACAGCTCTGAACAAAAGGTGTCTATTCTACTAAACGGTGAAGAATCGGAATTATACTTCGTTAATTGTACCAGTGCAAAGGTAAACTGAATAATGACTCATAGTTACTTATACAACACTCATAAACAAATTACTCGCAACCAATAAACACTCGATTGAAGAATAAAAAAATAAGTTGCTTTGTCAATTACTCTAGTAATTTCGAAATTTCTTTTTAATATAACTGGTCAGCTTCAAAATAATCTAACATTGCAATATGCAGAATCGAATGGCTTAAATATACAAAAAGAAAAAGAAACGAAAAACGTTAAAACCTTAGAGAAACAGCCAGTACGAAACAAAAAAAGAAACATTCGAATCGTATCATAGATTAAAAGGACCTTGTACGTTCACAGGAAGAAATCGATCGTTTCGAGCCACCTGATGCATTCGTGGTGATATACTCTGTGGTAGACAAGGCATCCTTCCAGAAGGCGGAACAGGAACTGGCGAGAATGTTGGACAGCGACATGCTGCGCTCCAGACCAGCACTCCTCGTTGCCAACAAGATAGACCTGGCCAGGAGTAGAGCTGTGTCAACACAAGGTGAGCAAATGATAGCTTTAAATATATATTTTAACATTCAACTTTATATCAGTTGGTCTGTGTTGTGGCTGTCGCCCGCAACTCCGTCCGCGCGGAATTAAAAAAACGTAATAGGTAGCCTATGTATTCTTCCAGACTATGTTCTACATCTGCGCAAAATTTCATCGAGATCCGTTGATTCGTTCCAGAGATACCTTTAAACAAACATCCATCTATCCATCTATCTAAACTTTCGCATATATAATATTAGCTAGATTAAGCTATTGTCAGATAAACACTTCTGATAATTTCTCAGAATTGATTGACTCCTTTAAACCGAGTTTGAGTTGAAAAGATTAAAAAAGTTTGCAAGCGACAGAATTTATTGCCCTCATTCTTCCCTCTATTTAAGGAGTAAATTAATTTCCCAAGCGACCTTGTTAGTGGTTTCTCTGATATTGCGCGCATATTTCTTAATGAAGGCATCTTTTGAAAAACCATCTGAGTTTAAATAACAGCTAATTAAGAAATAGAAACAGTAAACAAATGTTTTTTTTTATTTCAGATGGAAAATGTCTCGCTTGCACGTACAAAGCAAAATTCATAGAAGTGTCAGTTGGTATAAATCATAACGTCGATGAGTTACTTGTTGGTATTTTAAACCAAATCAGGCTTAAGAAACAACAGTATTCTGCTGAAGGTGGAAGAGAATCTTCACCAGCTCATTGGTATAAATCAAGAGGTGTGGTCAGAGCCAGCATGAAGGCAAGGCAAATGTTAACTTGGATCTTCGGTAAGGAAGATTCTAAATTCAAAAATTGCGAAAACTTACATGTCCTGTGAGTGGAAAGTGAAGGGCCGGTGTTCGTGTAATGACAGTGACTTTGAACTCGGCCAAGTTATTAGTTATTATGTGTACGTGTGTTTATTTTATTCAGACCAATTGGATCTTAGAGTTAAATACGACGAGCGTGAATACGCGTCTCGTTTGTAGTCCACGCTACTAAGACATATTGTGTGCGTTTCCACGGCAGAAACTATACAAGAAATTTTTTTTCCAAAAGAAATAAGCGACGATTATTTTTTTTAATATGTATTTCGGCAATAAAAATCCACTGTAAAAACCAATATATCTTTTCGATTCATATCGATTTACAAAACTAATTAATAAATTTGCGATAACATCACGTTTAAAACTCCTTATAGTGAAGGCATATCAAGTTTTTTAAACAAAAAAAAGTAGCTCAAAATTTACAATTTCTCTGTTCGCAGAATTTTAAGTAGTATTTAGTCGTACTAATATGACAGACTAATTTTGGCGCTTATTAAGTAGTAAAGCGTCAAAGAAACAATCTTTGTATTTTAGGTTATGTGCCAAGTTTGAAAGAATTTAAAATACGTATTCTTAAGTATATAGTAATTTCATAATTATATCGAAACGACGTATCAGCAATATTAATTTAGCTTAGAATATTTTCTATATTATATTGTAGAATATTTTAATGTATATTAATAACATATACTGGACCATTTATAATGTAAAGATAAATTTTCAATCTACAAGTAAGATACATTATACAATGTGTAATTTTCTTTTTAATATATAATAATCAATAATGTAATTTAATAAACTAAAAATAAGAATGGAAACAATTTTACAAAATTGACGATTTTTTTCACCCCATGAAAAACGATTTCAAACGATGAAAAAAAAATCTTTTAGCCATTTATGTATTTCAAATAAAAAAAAACTGTGGTATTTATTAAAAAGTCATTTTACAAAACATAACTGTCCCCAATTACACCCTAAATATAATAAAATCAATAATATTGTTTTCGATATTTGGGTATTACCAGGGTCCATTACAATCCTTCCATTTAAAAAGTTAATCAAATTAAGTGTCTCCTTAGCCGTTAATTTCTTTGCAGGAATTTTTATATTATTAAAATCTCCAATAATAATAATAAAATTAGAACTGTTGCGTAAAGTAAATCCGTATGATAATTATTTCCAAATAAACTCGACGATTAAAGTTAAGTTTTACATATTTTAAATTAAATTTCTTCTAATATATTAAAGGAAGAATTACGAATTAAAAATTGTTCTTTTAAAAATGTATCAGCTTTCCTTGAAGTTCATTTTTTATTACAAGAATTAAAATTATCTTACAAAGTACTATATAACGTTGACGATCACTATATTTGTGTAATATCGTAGTTTATTTATGTTTAGTATGTAATATATATTTGAATTGTAAGCTGTGTATTGTACATAAATATATACATTGCGAATGCACATAAGGATTTGATAAATTAGATATGTACTCGTATAATATCATGTAAATGTTATGTGATATTTAGTATTTCTACTATATAGTATGATTGAATTAGTACATATGTTTTTATTTACTTATAACCCTTATATATTTTTATGAATAGTTTCTTTTAATATATAATTGAAGTCATCAATATTGCTAGTATTGTCTTGTTGGTTTGTTAACGTTTATTAGAATTAATTGATGTCTATTTTTTTTTGACCGTTTTTGGTAAGCCAAATGTTTACGAGTTAAGCCTTACAAAATCTTAGTTCGTTTTGTTATTTTTTGTTAATGGATACTTCTAACTGCGAACTGTTTTGCGGTCGAAAAATTTATTTTTTTAAAGATAGAAAAGCCCAACATATTTTATGCTAGTACAAACTCATGGTACGACTAGCAATTTTGATGATATTCAACAAATATTTACTAATTAGTTGTAAAAATTATTCAATTTTTTTTTTCGTATAAATTGTAACTTTTCGTACGACTTGACTCAGTGCCTTTTAATTAGGTATATTTGTAAAATCTAAATGTTTTATTACTTTATTATTAGAGTTTAAAGTATATAATTTCAATGTTTGATATAATAATTTTTAAGATATATATAGAATTGTAACTTGACTATAATTATATGTAAACAAATACATAAAATAAAACACTGCTGAAAAATTTTAAGAAAAAAAAATGTTTGTGATTTTTGTTGACGATTTTTTTTTGTTTTCCAAGGACTTACTCGTACTTTATTATACGAATAAAACAACATCATAAATAAAATATATTCTCTTATTAGCTATATTTACTTTTAAAAACTTTAATTTTGCAATGGTAACGCAGTAGAAACATACAGTCGGGTTCACTGACCTCCACATATATCCGACCAAATTTCTATCGCATGGAAATAATAGCTTTTGTTTTGTTCCAACTTAAAAGCACAAATTGAAGTTACTGCCTAGTAATTTTATCTCTACAATAAGTTCGTGTTTCCAACACTATTACCAATCGCTATCAGCACCAAAATGTAAAAAATAATGGGAAGGGAAAGTGGATTTAATGGAGGAGGAGTGGATAATAAAGTATAATTCTCTTTCAGTAGTCTCCTCCTCCGCCTATTAAAGGTAAGTAATGCATCTTTAATAGTGAATGTCTATGGGCAATGGTCGCTTCGCCATTTCAGTGCATTCCGCCTTGCTCGTTTGTCACCTTATAATATAAAAAAATTACAAATAGGCACAAATAACAATGCGTTATAGCCTTTGGAATATATAGGTCAGCGGTTATCGTCATACTGTGTTAAAGTTTAAAGTAAATATTGAGATCTAAAAACTTTACTCTTTGTCCATTTATTTCTATAATTTTTCACAATGGAACCTACGTAAGCGAGAACTGGATAAGCGAGAAACCTATATAAGCGAGAACTTTTGTCCGATCGCGATATACGAACTCCATAAGCGAGAAACTTGGATTAGAGTGAAACTCTCTATAAGAAAGAGTAATATCGCGGTCTCTTAGACTCACGCTTATCCATCCAACTTTATATTGAAAAAAAAACCAACTTTTTTTAGTTTTTACTTTATTAATGGCATATTTAGTAATAGGGTAGAATCTAAGAATACATACTGTATGTATTTGAACGTATGAACCAGTATTACAGACAATTAGTCATTTTATTAAATTACATTTGTATTAATTAATCGAGTCATATCTTGAATAGAATCTTGTGTCTCTCTTACCGTGGGTTTCTGAAACCAAAAACTCTAAAATATTCTTATCTCGACATAGAGGAATTTAATAAAGATATTTTGGTCTTAGAAACCCACAATTATTGTGTTATTTTAATGTAATTGTTAGTTAATATGTATTTTATTTAATATAAAGAAAAAGAGCTTGAATTTCATTCAGATCTGGCATATGTGAAAAACTTCATATAAATATGTAAATCGTATATACACATATCAGATCTGAAATTTATGTAAAATGATTTATATATTAAGAACGAATTTGTACATTGTAACAGTTATCTTATATATAAAACATGACAGTTACAAATGTAAAAACAGTTATAACTTCAAATAACAAAATGGACGCCACGAACACGTCGACGCAGTGTGGGTAGGTCTACCGCAATATGGACCGATGATAGAGTCAAAGTTGCGGTACTGGGTGCCATGATGCTCATGAGCATCATGGCGATCATTGGGAGAGGCCTATGCCCAGTAGTCGTCGTCATAAAAGAAGAAATAAAACAAAATCATAAGTAATTTTTACTATGGTTTTTGGTTGAATTACAATAATTTGGTTTATAAACGTAAACAAGTAACATTTTTGCTCTTAATATATAATCGTGTGACGTCATCATATTATCACTATTTCTAGTTATTCTCGATGTTTATTGTAAATAAAATGATTGACAATAAATTTGATAATTGTAAATAACTCAAATTATTTTAATTACCAGTACTCGAATGAAGTGCGGGGTCAGACAAAGTGGATTCGCTCCGATGCGGTTGCATAGCGAACATGAAAAATGTATGGAACTGATGCGCGACAATCACGCGACATATCGAAAGTTATTGTCAGTTCTATACGTTTTTAGGCTCGTTATAGAGTCGCTTAGTAGTAGTAGAATTCACATTGTCTATAGCCCCCTGAATATTGTAAAGATAGCAATTCTATTTTTTATGATAATCATCAACGAAGAAAGCTATAAAAGGCAATTAAAAACATTGATCTGCACGAACGAACAGGTCTTTGCTGTTCATGACAGGTAATTTTTGTCTCTATTATTAGTTCGCCTCACCGCCGCCACCAACCGAGACCGTCAGCGCCAAGATGGCGGAAATTAAACAGACACAAAGTACCACAGCATATAGCCTGACATATAGCCTCCATTTATAGAGGTCGCCGGCGACTCAGTCCGAATTAAAAAAAAAAAACCTTAATAAGTAACCTATGTTTCCCTCAAGACTATGATCTACATATGTGTCAAATTTCAGCAGAATCCGTTCAACGATTCCGGTAATACCTTCAAACATCCATCCACCTAAACATTCGCATTTATAATATTAGTAAGAAGAAGGAACAGAAAAATAATTAAAGAAATAGTTTGCAATAATACTTAATTATCAAGCATTTTCTTTTATTTCTAAAACCTGACCTAAATGAATTCGTTTATATGGCAAATGGATAAAAGGGTAGACGAGTTTTCAATCAATCAAACGTTGATATCCAGTGCAGCGCGGCGGCTTCGTAATCGAATGAACGCAGTTCGTAGGTCGCAGTAACATAGCTCCGTGTACGAGACATTTTATCAACAATATATTAAGCTGGTAAATGTAGCTTAATGAAAAATATTTTATATTCCTACATACCGAAATTTCTCTCCATCCAAAAAGTCAAATGTATAGTAAGTTCCAGATTAGAATGTGTATGATCCAGCGACATATTGTGACGTGATAGCTGTATAAAATACGAGCTATAGCCCCCGACACCGTTCGCGCGGAATTAATTAATTTAGTAGCTCTTTTCTTTCAGACTATGTTCTAAATGTATGCCAAATTCCAGCAAGAACCATCCAGCCATTACAGAGATACCTTCAAACAAAAATCCATCCATCCATCCAAACATTCGCATTTATAATATTAGTACGATTGTAATTTTTTAATTTGAATCCCAGAGTTACTAAAGTAATATTGAAATCTATACTTTTCTAGCGATTCTTTACTGATTATAGGTACATATCACCGTGCATATTCTTTTTTGTAAAAAATGGTAATGAACGAAGACAAAAAAAAATATTTCAGTCTGTTATATTGTTATACCACTAAAGTAATACATCTATTTATATATATAAAAGAAAGTCGTGTTAGTTACACTATTTATAACTCAAGAATGGCTTTACCTATATGCCTGAAAATTGGTGAGAAGGTAGCTTAGAGCCTGGAGACGGATATAGGATACTATTTATTCTTCTTTTTTTTTGAATTAATGCCTTGAAGAGCTGCTTTTTATTTAACTTACTAATATTATAAATGCGACTGTTTAGATGGATGTCATGTGGATGGATGGATGAGTGTTTGAAGATATCTCTAGAACGGCTGAACGGATCTCGATTAAATTTGGCATACGT